TTGTCAATTTTATGCTGATATCATTTGCACACATGCAAAATCCCAGGTCCCGACAACATAAAAATTATCGTCGATCTTCTCTATCCCACAATATTCATAATGACTTCAGAACAATTGTAATACAAACACATCCATGCATAATTTTCTAAAGCCAGTTCAAAAAGTTGTTTGTACTGTTTCATCAAAATATAAAGTCAAATTGTGGTCTAAGTCCGTCATCTTATATTATTGGTGTGAATGTCATTTTGTCGACAAAAAATAGTTGCACTCATCAGTTTTATTTTGATTTTCAGGGATTGAGTCTAAATGTTGTTTTCTATTGCTACAAAACTGTACTTTGGGATCTCTCCATATTTGCATGCCAAGCCATTTTTCCTTCCTTGGTGCGTACGCATGACTCCTGGAGTCTGTGCCATGGTTTATCCATCCAGTTCCAACTCTTTTCCTTTCACAAATCATGTTACAAATACACGCCACAGTCTTAGGTAACACATTTTTGCGTTTCTCTGCTGGACTGTTTTTGGGATAGATTCTTAGACAGAGCGTCGCTAGATCAGGGAGTGGTGCAGAGGTGATGTTACTGTGTGGTACCGGATCATCTCTCCGGGCGCTCCGGCTTGCACTTCCAGCAGTGCTCTGCCGCCTGTGTTCGGCTCTGCCGAGTTCTCTGTAGAGGCGGTCATCTCCTTCATCGCCATCAATGAAGGCCATTTACCTACTGCAGATGCTTGGGCTTTGTGATGTAGCTGCAAATACTTTCTCCCGGGTTGTGATTTACCTTTTCACTTTCCTTCTGGCACTCCCCCATTTCAGGATGGCCCAGGAATTAGCCCGTTTTTCTAATATGCATCTAGACTCATGGTTCATTTCAAATCCTCAGCCCATGTGGAATGCTCTGATTTTCAGCAGGGGGAATGGGTCTATGATGTCCTTTCCCATTTGATGGCCGGATTTCACAGCACTTCTTTTAAACGGTCATCTCCTAACCGCTGAATTTTTTCTTTTTTTGGTACCGGGAATTGAACTACTCAGGACCTCACACTTGCCAGGCAGACACTTGTGCACTAAGCCCTCTGCCCGGCCCTCCCGCTGATTTGGAATGCTCCTTTTCCTTCTTCCTGAATCCCCACATCCACTTAGAGCTATCTCTGCACTTCTATCCTGCTGCATCAATCACGTTTCTATCCAGGTGCTAACACCACGCCCTTTGTTGTAAAGACCTTGAAACATGCTTAGAGACCTTGTAAGGGTTGTTTTGACTGGCTTGTCATGGATCTGCTACCTTTTGATTATTTCCTGTGTTTTTTGTGTTTTCCCCTCCAAATACACTTTAAAAATCTCCAGTTTAATTCCAGAGAAAAATGTACTGGTGATTTCACTCTAAGAGGCACCTTTGTAAGCTGGAGGCACAATTTTGAGATCTGCGTCAGGATTTCTGATCTTGGACAAGGACAGTGTCCCAGTCCCTCGGGCCTCCGGTTGAACCCCGAGTTAGTTCTGCAGTACCCATGTGGCAGCACCTTACTGTCAGCCTCTCCGGAGCTCCACCCCAACCCCGCTGCTCCCAGGTCCTGTGGGTCTGAGGCCTCTGCTCTAGATACTGCATGGACCTGCACCCCGTGTTAGCCGGGGGACACAGGTAGCTGCACTCACTTCTCTATGGCCTCTTCACCACCCTCAGGGAGGCTGGAAAGAGAACCACACACCCTCAGATGCCCTCTGCAGCTTCTGTGGCCACTGGGGGTTGTCTCTGGCCTCAGTCCTGTCTACAGGACTCAGTTCTTCTCCTCTCCATTCAGTGTGGTGCAGCCAGCTCCTCCAGCTCTGACGTGCTGGGCTTGTACCAGCCTCTCTTTGCTGGGACAGTGGCCTCCTGAGGGAGAATGAAATCTAGGCTTGATCTCGATGGTTTCTGGGCAGCATTCTTCTGTGCTCTTGAAGCATTAAAAGTCTTACTAGTCTCAATTACAGTGGAAATTTAAATTATGCATTATGTCTTAAGGTTTCCTCTTACTACCTAACTATAAAAAAATACCAAAGATTTTAGACTTTAATGTTATTACTGTCTCTGTGTGTCAAAAAATGGCTTCATATAAGTGGGCCAGGAGATTTTTTTTTTCAGAAATAAAGTATAAGTCACCAAAAAAGCTTTGAATTTGCTCTTAAAAGTTATGGTTCAGAGGGTTAGTTTTAGGAGGGAGAAATTTAAAAAACAACAACAACAACAACAACAAAAAAAAAAAAACACCAGAGTTAAGACACTGAGTTGAGAGCTGCACAGGAAATTCCTGTAAGTGAAATGGGCTTTTTCACCTCTTCAGTTAAACCCAACCACAAAACTTTCCTGTCAAGGAAGCTTTACCAGAGAGGGTTGCAAAAGCTCTGCTGGCTGGGCATTTCCTTCCACGCAGAGAGTCAGTGCATTCTGTCTTCCTTGGTGTGGGACTGGATTCCCCAATGGCAGGGTCAGGTGCACCATACCTCAGGTCCTCTTCTCCTCTCCGGGTGTAATTCATTTTCTCTGCACTGGGTGCCTTGGAGGGCTCTCACAGCACCTCCACGTCTCTCCAGCTGGGAAGAAATCTAGCAGAACTTTCTGAAAAAGCCCTTTACCCGTGGTTTTCATCAGACGCAAGGGCTGATATCACTGAAGTAAGGTCTGGAGGCTGCTTCCTCTTTTTATGTCTTAAGAGCAGGAAATAAGGGTAAGAAACAGTACAGTCTGTCACTCGCTTTCCCAACCTGAAAATCTCAGTTAAGAAAAGAGCTCATGTAATTGTAAATTTCATTCTCTTTCTTGCACTTACGCCATTTTCACAGAGAGTAGCCAGCACAAGCCCTGCTGGTGAAACTTTTGGGAATAGTGACCCCGTGTCAATGTTTGCATCTTCATATACAGAGTCTTCCCTCTGTTTTTTTAAAAAACAAAATGGTCGGTATAAACTTCATTTTCTACAGTGCTCTGAACACTTTACGGCATGGGTTGAAAGCAGAGGGTTTTAGGATGTTTGCCAAGTTCCTGTGGGCACCTCCCATCACAAGACCTTTGGCCTTGGGCACCATGGCATTTCTTGTTGTCTCTCCATAAGGAGACTCCAGGCATCCACAGTCCCTCTGAGATTCCTAATATCAGCTCTCTCTGCCCAGGTCACCATTTGACATGTGACCTAAGCGTGGTCTAAGGAGGGAGGGTTTTCTTTCTGGGACCCAGAATTGACTTACTTGCGATTTTCCTCTCTCCTTCTATCAAAGGCATTCATCAGTGAAAACTCATTTTCTTTCCAAACACAGTAAACTTGCCTGACTGCAGCGAACATCTTCGTCCTGCGACCAAAGAAATAGGGTTCTCTAAGAGTACATCTGGAAAGGCTTTGGGGAGGAGACCCTAGAGATTCCTGCAGTTGTCCTGTAGGCTGTCCTCTCTTTTGGTGACCTACAGTGTGTGGTGACAATGAAACCAGAGGCCCTGAGCTGCTGCAGTCTGGATAGAGTCCCTCCTGCAGCCCAGAGCAAGTTGGTGGCTATCACTGCTCCCAGCAGGAAGGACCCAGGCTGTCCATGGGGAAGTGAGAAAGGGTGTCAGCCCTGGCATGTCAGCTGGAGAGTGCGCTGTTCCATGCCACTCCCCTGAGCAGAGCTCACCACCTGACTTGGCTTAGGTTTCCACAGCCCCACTTGCTTGGCTGCTTGGGACCTGGACACCATGTGGTGATGCTGGGCTGAAGGCACCACTCAGATGTAAGAACACACTGTTGCAGAGAGAATGCTGCCCCTGGATCTCAGTGACACATCCTGGGACAGAGAATGTCTGTCACCTGCGAACAGAGTGGGAACTCCCCAGAACCAGGGCCTAGTGTTGTGGTACCCAGTTTGCAGCAGCCTGGGGCATTCAGATGTGGAGCTCCAGCCCAGAGGAGAGCCTGAGAGAGGTCTGAGAGAGGAGGGACCCTGCATGACCCCCACTCCCAGCCCTCTGCAGCAGTAAAAAGAGCACCCTGCCCCCAGAGCAGCAATGTCACACCCCTACAGGGCTCCCTGCAGCTGTAAGGAAGAGGTTAAAGAGGCTATTTCTGTGCACTTGGGGTGGGTGATCTTTTCAGGAAAATGTAAATTTTAACTTTTTTCAACTTGCTCATGGAAATATACACAGTAGGTAAGAACGGTACAAGAAAAAGAGAAAGAATTCTGTGTGGGGGAAACAGCATAATAAGACCTCCCTCCTTCCCTCTCTTGGGTGTTGTGGAAGTAGAGGCTCTGGGTTTGGGGTGCTCTCCTTGGTGAGTGCAGGCAGCTGCTCACAGGAAGAGCCACTCCCACTGCTGGAGGTCTGAGGTTCCTCAGGCCCTGGGCATGTGGCTGCCCCCTTGGGTGGGACCTGCCCCGTGAAGCTTCCTGTGTGACTCGCACCTTGGCCACCAGCTCCACTGTCTCATTTCCCATTTTAGAAAGGAAGAGGTTGTCCAGCAGAAGGCTCTGACTGTCACCATGGTGACACGATGCAGTGGCTGAGGTGATGACAGTGATTATTGGGGACCATGCTCGCCTGGGGATGGGTGTTTCTTTGGCTCCTGGGCAGAGAGAGGATCGCAGGCTTGAACGTGGCAGGTAGGAGTCTCGCATCTCCCTCTCACACTCAGGGCCTACGGTGGAAGCCCAGAGTGACAGGGTATCTGATAGATGTGTGGCATGGTAACATTTGTGCAGGGTACTTCCTTCCTGCTGGGGAGCAGGAGGAGATCCATGGCCAGCATGGCCTCCGGCTGTGCCTGAGTGGAGGAGACTGTAGCTTATGTAGCCAGCATTCATGGTGCTGCAAGGTATTGGCCATGCTACAACTGCCTGGGAGGGTGTGGAGACACGCATGTCCCTCCCCGCCCAGGGGCCTTCGTGAGGCAGACTGACCCACATTTGGCTCCCACCCAGCTCTCCCCATGCACCCCAGTTTGAGTTCCATCTACTGATGTGGTTCTGTGTTGCCTTTTTTTGTGTGTGGTTTCTAGGTTGTTTCATACAAAAACTCCTCTGGACGTACTGCCCAGGCAAGGAGGAGGAGTTTGTCTTGTTTTGTGACACCCCAGAGCCGCAGCGATCACGTCTCTTCCCTGGAAATCAGCACAATCGGACCCAGGGGCCCAGAGCCCTGCCCTGCGCTGGTGGCAAGGACCTGGTTGACGTCCGGTGGTACCGACAGCACAGGGACGGGGGTCCAGTTGAGGCAATTGCTGGTGGCCACTCTCATGTCACTCAGCGCGAGAGCACACTTCACTTCAGCAGCCCAGAGGCGGCCCAGGCTGGGACATATATTTGCAGAGCCAGGATTAGGTCCGTCCTGGATTCATTCCCGTTCCCAAGCATCCAAATTGTCGACCCTGGAGGTAGCTGCCCATGTTCACAGGAATCCTTTCTGTCCTAGGAGTGCCCCGGATGTGCAGGTGACTTGCTGCCTCAAAACCCTGCTAGAGGTGGCGCCTCAGACCACGGCCCCTTGTGCTGCCTCTGCACCCCATAAGCAGTACCTGCTTCTGGGGACCGTTGGCTCCATTCGTTGTCCCCGTCTCAGCTGCCGAGGAAACACACACAGGCCAGAGGTGACCTGGTACCAGGTAAGCCAAGTTATCTGAAGTTCACGAGAGGCACACTTCCTGGTGGTAACATCTCCATGGGGGTTTCCTGCAAGTGTGGGGTCCAGGGTGTGTTATCAGAGCCACTCGTAGGCTGCCCCGGCCTGTGCAGGGGACCTGATGTCCTGCATGGGTCCTGACCCCAGGTTTGGAGTCACCTCTCTGATCAGTACCAGAATAACTACCCACCCACCTGTCTGTTTGTAATGCCACAGGGTGAAGTGTGAGGTCCCTGATGTGGGCTGCTGCAGAGGCACGGGAGGAGCTCAGCTCACTGCCCTGGAGCAGGGGCATTGCCAGGGGTCAGGGCGCTCTAGGAAGACATCTCTGAGGGTTTGGGAAAGAAACAGGCAGCAAGCCGGGCATAGGGGTGCATGCCTGCAATCCCACCACTCAAGAGGCTGAGGTAGGAGATTCACTGAGAGTTTGAGGCCACCATTGGTTACGTAGTGAGACCCTGATTCAGAAAAACCAAAACCAAAACCAAAGACAGACAGACAGGCAGAGAGGTGGAAAGCAAGAAGAAAGGAAAGAAGGGAGTTAAGAGGCATCCTCCCCAGTGGAGCATCTAGGAGCAGGTACCAAGTGATGTCCATGATCCCTATAAGTGTTAGAAGTCTGATCTTTTACTTTAAAACATTGTGCAAAATTTTGAATTTGACTTGATACGTGTATTTTCTAATATAAAAGTATTACCTTGAATTTCCACTGATGGGAGTCAAACTTTTGGGGCTGTCTCTTGCTGTTTCATGTATTCCAAAACTCAGCGGGGAGAGGTTCTTGGGCACAGTCACCTGGCGCAAGAGGACATCAGCTCCTTTGATACTTTGTTTTGGTCTTTTGGGGACAGGGTCTCATATTGTATTTCACGCTGTCCCTGAACTCACGCTGCACAGGAGTGAGATTGTGCAGTATTTGCCTTCAGTGCCTGGCTTGTGTCACTTAACATACTGCTGCCTCGTCAGTCCATGAGGTCTCAGGTGGCAGAAGGTCCTTCTTGGTATGGATGCAGAGTAGCCTGTTGTGGTTTTTTTTGTTTTTTTTTTGTTTGTTTGTTTTGAGACAGGATCTTGCTGTGTGGTTCAAGCTGACCTTAAACTCACCCTGTAGCCCATGCTGGCCTTAAACTCACAATGATCCTCCTGCCTCAGCCTCCCCACATGCCCTGGTGCTTCCATCCTTGGCTTTCCTGAGGAGCCTACACAGTGTTTCTCCTGAAAATGGTGGCGGGTTATATTCCCTCCAGACATGCTGAAGGGCTTCCTCTTTTCTACCTCCTCACCGACTCTCGCGTTTTATTAAAAGCACCGTATCAGGTGCGAGGTGGCATTGCCTTGGCCTTAGTTTGCACGTCCCTGGTGATTAGCAATTCTGAGATTTTTAAATAAACCTGCGGCTCCGGCGTGTTCTCTGGGCAGAGACATCTGCACGGTCCTTTGCCCATTGTTTTATCCAGGTATGCGGCTCCTTGCTCTTGTGTGATCCGTGTTCCTTAGTATTTTAGGTATGAAGAGCTTATCAGGTGCACAGTTTGCAAAGGTCTTCTCCCATTCTGTGGTCACCTCTTTGTTTTGGTGACTGTTTCCTTCACCTGCAGAAGCTCTGCAATTTGAGGCAATGCCACTGTCTACTTTTGTTCTTGCTTCCTGTGATTTCGGGGCTATAGCCATAAAGAAAATGTTGCCCAGATAGTATAGAAGAACTTTCTTCTGGTTTCTTTCACTTTTACAGCAACAGGCCTTAGATGCCAGCTTTTAGCCCATTTTGAGGTTATTCTTGTGCAGCGTGACGTAAGGGCCCATCTCAGTCCTTCACCACGTGGCCCACTGCCTTCCCAGTGACATGCAGGGAGGACACTGCCTCCCCGCACCGCAGGTCCTGGCCTCTTCTTCCGGAGCCGGTTGCTCTAAATGTGTGGCTTTGCTTCTGCTCTTCCTGCCCTGTTCCATAGCTGACGAATTGGTTTTCATGCCAGTGCTGTGTCATTTAATGGTTCTCACTGTGTGGTGCAGTCTGATGCTTTCAACCTTGATCCTTCTGTTCAAGATATTGGAGGTCTCTTGTGGAACTGTGTGAATTTAAGGATTTTTTTTCTCTATATCTGAAAACCATAACATCAGAAATTAGATCGCTCCCCCTACATGCACATGCGCACATGCACATGTACACACACATAAACACACACACACATGAAGACATATACATGCACATGCACACACAGGTTTGAGGTCTCCTCTCATCCCTTATTGGAGTCCTTGTACTGTTGAGGCCACTCATGGACTGAAGAGAAGGAATGAGAAAAGACATTCTGTCCAAACACAGACCAAGAGAAGGTGGCTGGCTTTCCACCAGAAAGAAAGAGACTTTGCTCTCAGTTCTTTTTGAATCCATTAAGTAATTCTGTCTTTTTGATTTTCAAGAGGCAACTGCTTGCTATGGACGTTTTATAATTTATTCTGTGCTAGTTTTGAAGGCCCTTCCTTTCTCCTCCCTCCCTCCCCTTCTCCTTCCCTCCCTCCATTCCGTTCCTCCTTGGTATTCGGCTGGTTTTCAGGACTGTGTGCTTTGAACCTGTCCTTTTCATACTGTATGCAGTCAGCATGATTTCTTGCTTCATGTTTACTGTCTTACATAGAAGTCTTACCCTTTAACAAACTATTTTAAGCTAATAGCTATGTAACTTTACACACAGAAGTTAGGTCCCTTCCCTCCCACATTTTATGATCATATCGACTTAGAGAGTTTTGTAATTTATATCCCTTAACAATTTATTCTAGTTACGGTTGTTTTTAATAGTTTTGTTTATTAGCCCCAGTAGTGGGGTAAAGTTGTTTTACATAATACTATTATAGTATTAAAGGAACACAAATATGACGCTGTATTACTTATACCACTGATTTATTTTATTTTCACATTTTTTGCTATTATCGGACTTTCTTTTCAACTTTAAGGATTCCCTTCAGTAGCTGTGGTGATGGCCCAGTGGTGATGACCGCTCTTAGCTTTGTTCTCCTGAAAAAAAAAAATGTATTTCTCTCATTTCTGAAAGGCAGTTTATTTAGGTAAACATTTTTGGCAGGTTTTCTGTAAATACTTTGAATTTGTTAACTTTTCTTTACTCTTTCTCATTCTATGTATTTTTCTACTCTGCTGGATAATTTCAGGTTTCTCAGTCTGATTCTTCTGCTTGATCAAGTCTGCTGTGTAAGCTTTCTAGTAGATTTTTAAAATTGTAATTGTATTCTTTATCTCTAAGATTTCAACTTGTCTTGTTAAATTGTTTCCATCTTTTTCAGAGTTCAGTTTTGCTCATGAATTGTTTTCAAAATGTTATTGATTTTTACCTGTATTGTCTTACAGTTCCCTGAACTTCTTGAAGAGGGTTTCTGTGGGTTCTTTCATTGCTCAGGGTCCATTGTTGGAACTTGATCATCTTCTTTTGGTCCTATTTCTGACTATTCATAATCTGCGTGTTCTTGTGTTAGTTGCTACACACTTGAGGGAAGGACCACTGCTTCCAGCATACGGAACTGTCCTTGGTGATGGCCAGTCTCCTACACAGGGTCTAAACTGGGTTGTAGGTGGGCTAGCTGGCAGCAGCCAGGTTATCTTACCTTCTGTCACCAAAACACAGTTCTGGACACCAGAAAATGAAAGGGGAAGAGGTTTGCTTTAGCTTGTATTTGTAGAGGTTTCACTTTGTAGTCCTCTAGCTGCAGAACAGGAGGGTATAAACACAGGAGCTCTGCAGAGGAAAAGCTGCTCACTTCATGGCAGCCAGGAAGCAAAGAGAGAAGAGGAAGAACTTGCCAGGGGTTAACCCAGATCACACCCCCGTGACCCACCTCTTCCAGCCAGGCTGCAACTCTCAACACTCAGCCACTCCCATAATCCAGTCCTGTTTTGAAAGCCCCTGCCTGTGAGCACATGGGGCTCTGGGGGACTTCCAGACATAAACCATTACACTAGACACGTAGACACCAAGGTTGGGATCTCTAGCAGGCCTGGCCACGGCCTGTGTACTGAGGGCTGTGCTCTGTGGCCTGCTGAGGAACAGCTGTGGCCGAGCTCTGGTGACACAGGGCTCTGAGTCATCTTCCCTGGATGGAAGAGGCCTTTAGTTGACCATGGCTGTATGCTGGTACCCAGGCACTCAGGATGGTCAGCTACTTAGGGAGGACAGAGCAGAGGCCAGGTCCCCCAGAAGCATGCAGACTTGGGCTTGCCTCCGGTCTTGGGCTAGCCAACAGCAGAACTGGTTGAGAAGGTCAAGATGTCTCCCGCATTGGATTCACCAAAATACACCTGCTTCCAAACCCAGAGCAGTCTCAAGGATGACTCTGGACCCTGGGGAGCCCACTGTGCTTGAAGATTCTCAATTGTCTAATTCGGAATTAAAGGGAACTACCTGTTGTTTAGTCTAACAGCAATTTTCTGTTTTCCTGATTTCTAGAAATATAATGAAAAGTGTCTTGACCTAAACAGACCCCTTAAAGAAGTGATAAGTACATGGAATAAGGCAGTGTTTTGATGAATTTTGCTAAGTAAACTGCAAAATTACAACAAAGTTCAGTGGAAACATCTCTTCTGAAATGAGGTTGGACACCAGGATCTGGGCTTTGGTGATGTCCTCCTGACCTCCTGTTGAGGGATGTGAGCCCTGAGTAATGCTTCTTTTGGTGATTTAAGACCATCTCACTTAGGTGCCAGGCACTTGTCACAGTGAGCGACTAGCTGTCGGGTCATTTCTGGACACTGTGTTCTGGGAGGTTTGGCACATGGTCACCTTTTGGACTAATTCCCACCCAAACTGACATTTGTCTTGGGGTGACTGGTGCTCTGTGAGCCCCACACCACCACTGAGACTGGCTACACACAAAGTTGGAGTTTCTAGATGGAGAAGGAGTAAAGGCATTGTCGACTTTTTATGTTTGAAAACTGTTTCTGGAGCTGATACGCTGGCCCATCTGACTGCTCTCATG